TACTCTGCTTTTCGACTGCTTTGTGGTATAGAATGATGTCTGAAAACAATTTCAAAAGCTTGATGTTTTTCCTAGATACAACTATCATTAGATGTAGCTCTGAAAAGAAGACCGATCTGATTCAGAGTTCTACCGCTTCATCACTTGATCTTCCGATGCATACTAGCTAGCTAAATATTAGCCATACGGAAAATATACGGCACAAGTTTTGGATGGTCCGAGACAAACAGCCATTAGTAACTTATCCAAAAACATTTCATGTCTAATGGCATCGAAACTCGAGCACAATATTTTGATAAAACGTGCCGAACAGCTTAATCATTCAGTCATAGCGGCTCAATAGAACATTAATTCTAGTGCAATTTCGTAGTCTTGCAATACCTTCTGGCAGTTTACGCTGACATCGAGGTGGCTGAAAACATCGTTTTTGGTAAATCGCATAACTCTGATTACAAAAGATATCATGATAGTAATCCTATACAAACTGACAAAACTTGATGGCATATTGTAGAGAATACCCTATCGTTTTGAAAAAAGAAAAAAATTCATTATTATTTTTTAGAAATTTCTATCCACCTTCAATGGGAGTTCGTTATTCTCCTGCTACTATGCATCATTATCCACCTTATACACTAGTTCCACCTATTCATCATCATTTACCAGCGCCATCTTCTCATATTGTTCATGCTCCACATATTCCAACAAATGTATTATATTCGAAAGAATTTGTTTTTTTTCTTTTCATTTTCGACAGAAAAATAAAATTTATTGATGAAATATTAACTGATTTGTTTTTTAAATGAAGAAAATGTTTATGTTTGAAATAGTTCAATTTTAGGTTCCAATTTAAAATGAATTGGAGAAATAGGTAATGAAGAGTAAGAATTATTTCTTAAGGCTTTTCTTTATGTTTAACACGTAAAATATATCTAATTCGACTAGAAAAATAATCAATACGACTATCGATAAGATACTTGATGTGTAGAGAAGACTGTTTGTCTGTTATTATCGTTCCTTCTATTCCTATTCTGGTTTCAAAAGAAATGTATATGGAGCAAAACCACGATTGCATTTTAAAAGAATATTTCAGAGTTTCGTTATATATTCTGGTTGGTGCATGTTGATCACAAATGAACAAAAAAGATTATTTAATCTTTCTTCTTCTATTCTTTTGTGCGTCTAATCAATATCCATTTTTTTTGTGCATTTTATTTCTACTGAAAACGTATGCTATCCTTATTAACATGATTATCGTAAATGATTTTTATACAAATAGTATTTCTATGATATTTGATATCGTATCTTATATTCATACAAGGTCTCATTCTTGTCAAAAAGGCAGTTAAAAAGCTATTCTGCAGATTTTTTGACATGATCAAAGTCTTGAGCGTACCAATTCAGTTACATGATTTTTATCGTTAATGTATTAGGTTTTTGAAAATACAGAGTGGACCAAAAGCGACTTTACCGTGAAACAATTGAATATCCAATTACACTACGGTTCGACCAAACAGGCTGATTTTTTTTACCAATGATAGAGACATGTTCATACTCCAGATCCAAACGAACAAGGTTATTGAAAACATTTGTTAAGTAGCACTGCTAACCTCAACAAGAAAATTTTACTTTTTCACAAACAGGAAAAAAAAATATACTTAACAAAAGTTCTCACTAATCTCATTCGTATGAATCTGATAGGGTGAACATGCCGCTATTCTTGATAAAAAAAATGAGCCCGTTTAGTCGAGCCGTTGTGCAATTTGATATTCAATTGTTTCACGGTAAAGTCACTTTTGACCCACTCTATATGATTTATGTATCAAAACAGATCTAATAAATTCCGTTTATTTCAGGTACGATATTATCAGAAAGGAATACTTGTTCTAACGTTGGTTATCGCAAAAGTTTGAAATATATTCAAGAGATCTCTGATTAAAACTTTTCCAGACAATATTTTAAAAGTTCTATTGATAATTCAACGACGCAGAGAAATAATAATTTGTTCCAAGTTATTAACCATGGATCTCAATTCAAGTAGATATTTCTTAGTATCATGGTGAGCTATATGTAGTAATGACAATAAATTAAACGAGCATGATCATTGTGAAATGTTATCCTTATTGACGAAACGTATTTTATCTATACCTCAAGTACAAAGTACAAGTTTTTGTCCTCAGGTATATGTACTAAAGTGTTTGTCTCAAGTACAAGTATAATACTTCTATTTGCAGTGAATGTTTTTCTTTTTAATAAAACATTCTATTGATTGATTTCGACAAATTGATCATAACATTTTCATGTTTTATTTTCATTATCACAAAAGAAGATATCATTTAATAATATGCTATTCGAAAGGTTGACACAAGTAATCAAATTCTATAAAAGAATGTTGTTAAAATCAACATTTTCGTCGCGTGCCTGATAGCCGAGAACAAACAGAAGAAGCAGTTAAAACTGGATGGTTTGTTTTTTTTTTGATCAGATATTCTTAAGATGAAATAAAATAATCAAGAATAGATGAAGCCAAACGAATACAATTATTCAATATTTTTTTTGTAACAAGATAATTAATTAAAACTAACCTCAGATTCGAATTCCTCATCCTCGATTACCTTTGGTTAAGTTTTATGAAAAATAATCACTTTCGTTTTCGCATTAGCTTTGGACCTATCAGTAAAGTACGAACATACAATCAAGCAATCAAGAAGACAATTTATGTTTGCTAGACTCTTCTTTACAAGAAAGAGAATATGGTCATCCAAAGCTGGTTTTCTTTCGCTTGAAATATTAAAAAAGAAAGAAGCTGTTTTTAAAATTTTTTATAAAAACAAAAACAAAAACAAAAACAAAAAAACAAAAAACAAATAAGAAAAATAACGAGGAGGGAGAGCCATAGAAAAGGTCACCCACGTGACCGCTCTCCCTCCTCCCCCTCAAGATGTTCCGCCACCATTACGACCGCGATCACTACCCCTACGGCCTCTATGACCACCACCGCCGCTTCACCGCCGGACTTCTTTCAACCATCTTCGATATTGATCGGTGGTTGGTGGTGCGACCTAGAATAAAGAATATTAAAATATTTAATATATATAATTAAACATATCTGCTGGTGGCTGACGGAGTGACCCATCATTGAGGTCCGAGCCGACCACCTCTTTCATTGTATTGAAGATATATCTAAAAAGGAATGATCCTATTATATACAACAGTAATAAAAAACTTAATTATTATTTATTCAATTTAAAAAATATATCAACAACAATAAATGATATCGATCGACAACATACTGCAGTGCAGTTCTGACGATAAAAACCACGCATTGAATAGAAAAGAAAAAATACAAAAATAAAAACAAAAGAAGAGTAGCTACGCTTGAAATAAATTTCATATTTTAGATATAATGTAACGTTTGTTGTTTTCGTGTGGCTGGTTGATGATCAGTAAATGGTTTTGGTGCATTTTTACTTACCCAACATTGTTTACAACATGATCTTAAACAATGAAAATTTCGACAAAAAAGATCAGCAAGTGCTGGACAAAATGTACAAAGTTCATTTTCCACGCGAAAAATGTTCAAGACCCATTATATCATCTGTACAACGATCAAGAACTGTATAGACAAAAAAAAATACTATTATTATTAGCAATATTTTTATCTCATATAATTAACTTACTGAGTAATTCTCGATTTGATGTAACATTCGTAATAGTTGTTGTATTTGAAAGTCGCGGTAGAGAATGAATATCATCTTCATCTTGTTCTAAATCAATTACATGATCAACATCCATCGGTTCGTCTTCACTTCCTTGTTTAATCAATGTTGAATGCTATTATATAAAATAATAAATTGAAAACAAAAAAAAACAAAATGAATTAGATTTACTTTTACATCGGATTTGTTCGATGATATTTTTTGATTTGATGATAATTCAATTTTACGTACAATAAGATGAGCTTTACGATTAATGGATGTTTGACGTAATTGATCCGATGAAGAAAATTGAATTAGATATAACTTCTTTTTTTTTGTATAATTCCGGAATATTACTGAATCTTTTGCACCGAAAAAACCAGTCCAATTTTGTTGTCGAGTTAGTAAACGAGTTGCATGTTCAATTTCTTTTTTCATCTAAATATTAGAAATATTTTTCTTTGTTTTATTTCAATTAAACGAAAGAAAGAGAAAAAAAAAACAAACTTCGCCAATTGTTGTACTTGGTTTTAAAACAAGTTTATATGGTGTTGATTTGCCTGATTTATCTTCATATAGCACTGTTATTGGAAAATAAGGACTTGCTGTCGTTGAGGCATTCTTTGGTGGTGTTATTGGATGGCGAGAAGTTTGACTAAGTTTAAAGAAAACCAAAAAAAATTCTTCTTATTGACATAATTTTTTCGTACCTAGAGGTAGTTGTAGTTGTTGCGAATGATGATGATGTTCGAGTAGCTCCATTGATCATTGATGGTGCTGTTGCTATAAGATGGATAGTATTGTCTTTAGGTAAATTGAGATCTTTTAAGATTGTCTAAAACGTTTTATGAATGTCACGTATTTCTTTTCAAGAAAATAATTGATGAAAAAACAAATACTGATCTTATGAGAGAAGAAATATAAGCTAGTCTATTAAATCAAATGATTAGAGATATAGAAATCTCTGAGATGGAATGTTGTTCATGTTTAGAATTGTCTCGACAAGTGATGTGACCAGAAAAAAAATATAATGGGAACTCAAACCTCTTTTTAAGTGGACGTTTGTGGGAGGGGAGGGGAAGGATTGCGATACCATCTTTGGAGAAATATCGAGTCAGATATTTTTTAATTAGTTAATTGATTTGTTTTCTAATACAATAGAAATTTTCATGCAAAGAAAAATATTTCTCAATATGATTTTTGTCAAAATAATTCATATTTGATCGTCATAGTGCTTTGAAGTTCAATTAGTAAATTTTTGTCGATTCGGTGGAACATGTAATTTCTCAGCAATCTTTGATTACAATTGACCTAAAAAAATATACATATGGATAGAATTCATTTTTAAAATAAATCTTTCTCAAATACATACGAGTACTGTCAGTATCAAAAACTGTAATAGATTCTGTATGATCCTTATATTCAATTGTAAAACGAAGTTCACGAACTAAAATAATTATAAATATTTAATATGATCTTTAGTTTCATAAAATATCGCAATTTAGTATTTAAATATTATTTGCATTGTATTTATATGATGATCTAATATAGAGAGATTTTTTAGTACTGCCCGAAAGAAATAAATAATTGTTAATCTGTCATTTGGATGCATTGTTCAACCACGGTGACAAATTCAAATATCTAGGGGTACAATTATCTAGTGATGGAAAACAAGACGGTGAAATAGATCAATGAATTGGTGCAACCAGCGGCGTTTTACGTTCATTCTATCGAATAGTGGTGACAAAGGTGGAGTTGAACTAGAAGACAAAGCTTGGAATCTTTAAGTTGGTATATCGATCTATCCTTGTTTATGACCACGAACAATAGGTAATGACTGAGAAAATTCGATCTTGAATACGAGCGGCTGAAATGAGATTCTTGCAGACAGAAGATAATCGAATGATTACAACTACGGGAGCTGGGACATGTCTTGAAAATGCTATATGAAATATTTATCTATCAAATAGTTGAAGCTATGCTTGCAGCAGAAAAGGTCAGTCGAACGTCTGCGAACCAATTGGTACAAATACCTCGTGAAGCTGTCAGAAGCATATAGAATTTAAATGGACTAAAATCTCAACTCGAGAGGACCAGAAGAAAGAAAATAAATGAATAATTTGTCATTGACTCTAAAATTTTCAGACATTATTTCAATATTAATTTTTTTTAGGAATTTTGTATTGATGATTTAACTCTTAATTATGTAAAAAAAAATAAAGAATTTACTCTATATGATCTCTCAAAAGTTTCATAATCGATTAATTTCTCATTAGAAAGTTTTCTATAAAAACAAAATATATCAAACCTGGTCCTCGATTTGTGGGTGTGGGGTGTGGGTGTGGGTGTGGGTGTGGGGTGTGGGAGTGGGTGTGGGTGTGGGTGTGGGTGTGGGTGTGGGTCTGGGTGTGGGCGTGGGCGTGGGCGTGGGTGTGGGTGTGCGTGGGGTGTGGATGTGGGTGTGCGTGGGGTGTGGATGTGCGTGGGGTGTGGATGTGCGTGGGGTGCGGGTGTGCGTGCTTCTTTTCCTTTCAGTCACACACCCACCCGCACCCACACCCACACCGACCCACACCCACACCCACACCCACACCCCACACTTCTCAACATCAAGCAGTATCGTCCACATTAATATATGTAGAGGGTGTGGTTAACGTAAAGAAGTGATCATAGTTGAAATGTTCTTCTCAATTATCAAAAAAAAAGTTGCCAAAATCTAAGAGAAATCTTCTGTCTACGAGCAGCTTAGAAATATTTTCACAATATTTAAAAATAATTTAATATATTTATTCAGCGTTATTGTGAATTATAAAATGATGGGGGTGGATGTTTCTTGTATAGCTGTTCACACCTACACCCTACTAAACAATGGACTGTAAGAAAGATGAATTAAAATATCCGAAAACTATTAAATCAATACTGTTTTCTTCCTTTAGACCTCAAATCATGAAAAAAGCAGTTTTTTTCTCGTTTTTGGCCATGTTGTATTTCTGGAAATTATTCTCAAAACAAGTGAATTATAAAATTTGATATAAAAATAGCTTCTTTATAGAACTACAAATGCAAATTAGTAGGAAAATGCATTTTTGTTCAGTTTATTAGTTCACAATTTCCATAGTCATTCTCACTGTTAGTTTATTTAGTAAAAGATTGCATATATAATTCAAAGAAAGACAATATATTGAAAATGCATTCTATCAGATAATTCTAGATAATCTACTTAAATCTAGAACTAAGCTTTGAACTCAGAACTGATGAATGTCTAATATATGGACAAACAGAATATTTTGTCTACGATCTAATAAAAATATGCAAGCAAAATATATATGTAGATGTATGCATGACAGTATGAATTAGACATACTCAGACATTTTTTAAATATTGTTTTTTTTTATCGTCGATGCACTTTAGTAGGATATATTGTTATTTTAATAATATTTCTGAAGAATCTAGAAAATAAATTATTGAAATCGCTGAAAATAATTAGCACCAATCATTGCATGATAATTAACTTTAAATAAACGGACCATGTTCTCATATTTATGAACACATATTGAAGTTTTTCATTTTTAGCGTTATTTTCGAAATTTAAGGTCTCTAAGTAAATTAAATTTGTATAATTTAATTGTTATTATTTGAAGGTGATAAAATAAGAAATTTGACATTATGTCTTTTAAGTTTACCAAGATGTTTTTCTTCTGCTACCAAAAAAATGCATTGTAATCATTACTGTGCAAGGATGGAAGAATAAAAAAAAGAATCAAAAGACTGTTGAAGAATTAAATAACAACGTTTTATTATAAGTGAGGAGATCGGTATGAGGTGTGTGAATGACATCGCATTCACACGAGAAAACAATATTTGCATCCGATTCCCAATCATGACCACATCTGAAACACCCACACTCATATCAAAACCAATATCTGTATTGTACATCAGTCTGCACCCTCTTGCATAGATGTGCTCAGAGTTACTCAGATCTACATCCATACGCACACCAAACGCACATCACTTAAGTGTAGTTTTAAATACTCTTTCTGAAGAAAATGTATGTTTAACTAGAATTTCGAGTGAAAACGATTAGTAAAAGGAGAAAAAGTACACAGAAACGAAAACAAAAACATTGCTGCGCTGCAAAAATACGAAGAAAATCATTTAAACAAAGGAATCCAATAGTGTGAGCGCAAACGTTTTTGATTAACAGAATCACGTCAAAAATATTACTCAGGACGCTGCAGCTTCAATCTATTAGCTACGGTGAGTTGATTATCAACAGTATCTGAAGAACAACGGATGCTTTTTTAAATGTCATCTACTTCGAACAGACATACTACTATCAGTGGACCACTCTTTTGTTCACATCTATTCACTGATCCATTTTAAAAAGGATACAACAAAGAAAATCAGGATTAGGTCACTGCGATTTTCATGCCAGCACATAACAAAAGAATGCGAGAGTTCATTGATAAGCATTTAATCTCGATGAGGTTAGTATAGGAAAAGCTACAGGTTGCAAAGCTTTTTGTACAAATGAAAGTTAAACAGTAACGGTATAAATCTAGTTTACGTCAAAATGTTTACTTCTGAAATTTTGCAGGATGAAGATTATTTATAAGACTTAGTCTTTTAAAAAGAAGCGGCTGTAGTCATTTTCTCGACAACCTGAGAACGGTTGCAACTATTAAAGTGTTTCAGTTTTGGCATTGTGATTTGGCTAGAGAGAATTCCAATGTGTAGTTTAAGATATAATCAGAATGATTGTCTTCACGTATTATAATGTTAAGGAGATGAAATTCTTTATTTAATTTCTACGCAAATTTTCTTACTTTTTTGAAAGTTCTATCTGAACAAAAGTTAATTTCTATATATTTTTCGATGTTTTTTAAAAAAGTTTGATTTTTAAAATGACTTTATGTGATCAAATTTTGTAGAGAGAGACGCCCGAATATCACTCCTTTCGACTGGTGGAAACCACAGCTTTCTAATTGCTTCTGTTCTTAAATTATTCGAAAAATGGCTACATTGACTTTTCTTTTAACTAATAATAGATTGGTTTCAGAATTAAATATGCAAGTTTGTAGAGTAAAATTCAGTGGGTTGACCGCCATGCTTAACTTGGAACAACTCTAATTCATATAAATAACCTTGTTAGGATTCGTATTCACGCAGGGTGAAGAACGCAGTTAAAGACGTACGTGCTTTCTTCTCTCTCTGTTTATACTTTGACAAAAAATAACATTTATACAAGCACTCAAAAAAGAAGAAGAAAAATATTAATCAGAATTAAAGAAATGACTGGAAACGAAATAACACAAATGAAAACATCTAAGAAAAAAGAATAGAAAGAATTAATATGTATGTAGTTACAATGCGTACGGTGAGAAACTGTCATCCTTGAAAGTCCCAAAAACTCAAGTGTTAACGTAAACTAAAAGAATGATAACATCGTGATTTTTGGTGATCAGAAAATCTCTTACAGTGTGAGAGAAAGTTTCTCTTCACTCAATAAATGGAATTTTAGAGATAACTGTCATGTCTTTCCATAGCTGAAAAGCTAAGGATCAAACAATCTCAGTCTCAAAGTGATACTTCAAAGAATTGAGTGTAAGTAAGGATATTAATCTTCTCCTCAACCAGAACAAGAACCGGTGCCGCTCTTACATGCATAATCACATCTACGCCCTATATCTATACTGACATACTCAATTTGCAACAAATTCTACATCCGCACGCATACTCAAGCCGGAAAATGATATATTAAATTCGTCTTCAGGGATTGAATAGGTGCAAAGGATGAGGGCAGATGCTACATCTCACTTAGCTATTAATGAACCGAGATACAAGAATATTTATATTTCTATAAAAACACTTTGTTTTATTTTTTTACAGCATATTTTAACATAGAAGAACCTCTCTTACAAACATATAATCTATGACGCAAAAGTAATGGCCGAAATATCGAGACCAGTTACTCCGTTTGGAAACATCTTAGAAAGTAAGTATTTTTTTTTTATTAAAAAAAATTGACATCTGAACTGTAAATTTTCAAATTTATAAAATGAAAAATGTGTGTATTGTCGGCTATCTCAGACTATACAAACTAAACGATCACAAGAAAATATAGTAAAATATGGTGCTCTAAAAACTCTATCGATATCAACATCGTGAAACATAGTTAGATCCATTCTTTGGACTTTAGCCGAAAACTTGAAGAATAAAATTTTCAATAAAAATGGCTTCGTTTTGACCAAGATTTATTGATCTGAAAGAATATTATCCACTATCTTCAGAAAATATATATAAAGAATTGTTTTGTTTTGCATCATTCATTCAAAATATATTAGGTCATAGAAATTAAACGGGAAAAGTAATTCAATGAGCATTTTTTTACCGCTGAAAAATGATCAAACAGTGAGAATAATCAAATTATCTAGTCTCTAACAGCCAAAGAAATGTGTCTATATTAAAATTAATACGAAACTCATTTGCACCACACGATTGAAATGAGTGGTCTTTGAGCTACAGAAATCGCCATTTAAAGCCTTTTTTTATTCTCTTCTGGCGTTAAAAAAGTTAAAGAAAATAAAAATTGATATGGCTCACTCATCAAATTGCAAGAAATTTTCTAAAGGTAGTTGCTTTTTGGCTTTTCGTCTTTCCTTGATTCGTTTTGGAAAATATGATTCGCATAAAATTCAAAGTTCACAAATTGCTGATGTTAATAAAAATATAACTGACTTTCTGAAATGTTTCCAAAAGAAAAAACTGTGTCCCAAGATATTAGCAATCACTTTTACATCATAGATTACCTCTTGAATACGGCGAAATCTTCTGACTTTCTTCAAGTATAAACTTGAACTTCTAAAACATTCCAAGAAGATTTATGAAAGTCTCAATATGTCATTAAAACTAGAAATATTCTAAAACGCTTTTTCTTGCCTCCGTTGACATGGTCCATATTGATCAATTTGTCAATATCCTCTATAGAGCTGTCATTCGAATTCGACATGTACTGATTTTAAGTGTCTTACTCCTGCCATTATTGATTAGATAAAATTTTATCTTTTTCTTTTGCTGTATTTTAACAGGACTTTGCGTTTCATTTTTAAATTACAATTTTGTAAAATTACTTTCTGTCGCCTTCTTGCTGTTGCAACATAACTACGCTTTTCATTTATATATTGCAATTTCTGAAAGTATTTCAATTACTTTTTTTTACTGATCATATTAATTTTCCCAGAAATTTCGAATCCAACATGTGCAATTTTTTTCCTTTTGATGTATATCATAAAAAAGCCCTTGTACTTTCTAAGTTGATGAACTAGTATAATACTTGGTCTTGTAGGCTTTAACATAGAACTGATTAGTAAAGAAATGTTTTTCCTAAATAGCACTAACTGACGTTCTAACCTAGAAGTAGTTGCAATCATAAAAAGGAACTTCAGCTAAAATAGCTCAACTAATACGAATGAACGCATGTGATTTTCATCACCTATGGTTTTTTTTTCGTTATTGTATTTAAATATCATGGTTAACTGTTAAGATTTTAGTAACAGATAACTTATGTTATTCATTATAGAAAATGCTATATTTACGACGAAGTTAAGCCCTCATTCGCCCACAGACGTCTCAGTAGATGAAAAAACAATTGATAGCAAGCCAATACCAGTTCGTCGTCGTTCGCTTGTACGTGAGTTTTGTTTAATTACATCAATTCATGGTTTGCCTGGCGCTGCCCGAAGTACAAATATATTAAATTTTATCTTTTGGTCGTTATCATTCATTTGTTTTATGGGTTTTCTTGTTTATTTTGTTGTTACAGCAATTCAAGCCTATTTCCAATATCCGACAAAAATTGATGTAACTTATGAAAGACAATATCCACAGTATTTTCCAGCCGTTAGTATTTGTAATGCTTCGCCAATTCGTTATGATACATTTATTGGAGCCTTCTTGAATTACACGTATCCCAACAATACCAATAACATAACGACAATTTCTTCTAATGACTCCAGTAATGTTTTCAATTTTTTAATTGATGCTACCAATAAAAATCAACTATTAGATTCATACTTCTTTTCCCTTACTTCAATGTTGTATTCATGTACCTTCAATTCTGTCCCATGTTCAGCAGCAGATTTTATTTCATTTACATCACCAACATACGGCCAATGCTATACAATCAATGCTAAATTAAAAAATAGCACGAATAGCAACATCCGCTATACAAATGAGAATGGTGGTATTGGTGTACTACAGTTAGGTCTTTATGTACATAGTCATGAATATTTACCTTATGTAAACGATGGTGAATGCACATTATATTTTTCATTAATTTTTCATTGATTTTTATTTTCATTCATAGGTGCTCGTGCTGTAATTATTGTTCATGATAATACACAAGTACCAACCATTGATACATCTGGAATATTTCTGGCACCAGGAAGAAAACATAAATTAGGCTACAAAAAGAAAGTTACTAGTTTTTTATCTTCACCCTACACAGACTGTACGAGTAGTGTTTCGGATTCTATGAAAGTAGCACTTGAAAGTTATAATGGAGCTGATTATATGTATTCTGAAAATCTCTGCTATGAAATTTGTCAACAAACATATGTGTAAGTACACCCGATTAGACGAGCATGCTCTACATGAATGACATTTTCATGAATTATTTTCTTTTAGTTATCAGCAATGTGGTTGTGTTAGCCCATTTTTATGGAATAGTCGCTCGGTTATTTTACCAGGAACAGATACAATTATTGTCGCACCTCTTTGTAATATGAGTAACTTATGTTTTTCTACAGCCACAAACACACTTTTGACTTCGAATTCTCAAATTGCTACATATTGTTCGGATTGTTCACAACAATGTTTGTTAACGAATTTTATTATTGAAATCTCATCTTTAAAAACACCACTCCAATGGCAAATGAATTATATCAAAGCGTTTGTTGAAAATTCAACGGTATCATTGGCCTCTAATTGGTCGACAGCATGGCGTGAATATATTTATGATAACTATCTTTCAGTAGTTGTCGCTCTTGAAACGATTACTATCGAAAATAATACACAAACATCAGTGCTTGGTGTTGTTGATATTATTTCCAATATTGGTGGTCAATGTGGACTTTGGATTGGTATTAGTTTTCTCTCAATATTTGAACTTATCGAAATGATCTACATACTGATAAAACGTGAATATTATTTAATACAACAATCAAGACAAAGAAAAGTGGATGTTAGTGGTTAATATACACAGTATCCTAAACGTCTGCGGGATCGTTTAATAAACATGCTTCTTAAATGATTCAACCGATTTTTTTTTGTTTTACTTTATTACTATGCTTTCCAAAGTGTTTTTTCATATAAATTACACCGGAATAGGGAGTGAGTGTGTGCATGGAGGGGGGTGGGGGAACACAGGGTTGCCAGCTTGAAAGTTACAAACGGGAATTTTTCTACATCATGCCGGAAAAAATTCAGAAAGCAGGTCTTTGACGTTCAATTATGTATACCGTTATTTTTTATGGGAATTTATTTTGTTCTATCAGCATTTTGTGCGAAAATTGTTGCCAATGCAGCTGTTTTCTTTTTCAATCTCCTTATATTCATATTTGAATCATTAATTTCAATATTCACGGCTGAATTTTATTCAATATAACACCGGAGGGTGCGGGTGTGGGTGGGTGGGTGTGGATGTGAGTATGGGTGTGAGAGTGGGTGTTGGTGTGGGTGGGTGGGTGTGGGTGTGGGCGTGGGTGTGAGTATGGGTGTGGGTGTGAGTGTGTGGGTGTGGGTGTGGGTGTGGGTGTGGGTAAAAAGAAGATAAATACTCAGATATTATTCATACCCACACCCACACCCATACCGACACCTACAGTGTGTCTAATGTCTCACGAACAAATATATCGGCAGCTAAACTTTTGTATTCATCGTTCAAAGGACTATAACATCGCTATCTTTCGTAGAAGAGAAACCGTGGATGCTGTGGTTTGATTCTTGGATATTGTGATTGGCAGTGAACTTCAAAAAATTGAGGTTATGTGCGAAGTTTATATCAGTTAAAGAAAAAAAAAAGCACAAAATAACATATGAAAAAAAGTCTTTATATCAATTGATTTATTTTACTTTACAAGAATTTTTCTGGTGAAAAACACGACATTTTCTATCATCATCATCATCATCATCATCACTAGATGTTGTATTTAATACGAATGTGATTGGTTCTACGTCAATTACTGCTTGATTTTCACTCACATAACACGATTTTAATTGGAAAAATACTGAAGATTTGTTATTGTTCAGTACCCAACATCGTAGTCCACATATTTCTGGATGAATCCAGAAAGCTGTTTCGTCAATAATTTGATCTAGAATGCAGCAAAACAAAACAATACACGAAATTAATTTCATGCTCCCCAGGGAAAAAATATTAGATTATGGAAGATTTCAGTAGATTATAATCAGATTTTTCTGAAACAAAATCTAAATTATAATCGATTAAAATCTTTGAAATCAACAATAATTCGATTTTCAATCAATCGAAAATCTTTAAAATCCAAAAAAAATCGAATTACAATCGAAACAAATCAGGACTATATAATTTTAATCAAAACTGCACGATTTTAATCCAAATTTTTTCGAATTTTAAGGATTTTTGTTTAATTAAAAGTTCAATTATTGTTGATTTCGAAGATTTCAATCGATTATAATTTGGATTTTGTTGCAGAAAAATCTGATGATAATCTACTGAAATCTTCCATAATCTGATATTTTTTCACTGGGTCATCTTAGAGGCCAATTACGCTTCGAGACGACGTGGAACGGCATAAGCTAACCTACTGGAACAGTTTATTATCAGCTAAATAAAAAAATAGAAAAAAAATTAGTAAGAATACTCTTCAGGTTAGTTTACTCCAATTTCAGCGAAAAAATCTCCTAGTAGATCCAGATCTATTCGACTGATCACATGTAGAACCTGCATACTCAGTTTTTTCACGAAAAAATGTTCCGTAAATAAACATTTATGGCAGAAGTCTTTATCTAGATTTCTTCAATTCTAACAATTGTTCGATTGACTGTAGATCTATGTTTTGATACAACATATTCTCTTTGTGCACAGAACATGTAAAATGAAATGCATATTCGAATCTTTGTATTAAAAATTAAAGAAGAACAATGCCTTATACATTGTGTCAGTTCCTATCTCTTTGCCTCTATAAAAACATTGTTTTCATAATGTTACGTATCTTTTTTCAGTTTTACAATTTTTTGTTTCCTTGTTTAATATTTTATTTTTCAAAAAGGTACTCAGGCGTTTTGTACGTAAGTGGTTCAGCATCACAAATAAATCATCTATTACATAGAATTCAGTTCTTTTAATCAAAACTCTCTGTATTCATAACACAGCAATTAGGGAAAGTATTGAAACATTCTTTTGAAAGGTATATAAGGATTATCTAACTTATGAAACCATCTTTAGTCTACATTTCTCGGGTCGTAACGGTGGAGAAAAAGATTACAAATCAAGAACAAAAATCTATAGAAAGGAAGGAAGAAGAAATTTTACCAGTTCTAATCAAAACTAGCAAATTACTCAATTTAACTTCGGCGACTTCACCACCAGAAAGACAGTATAACAACAAAACAGTTACCACGAAGTACTGTTTTATACTAGGTGTAGAATTACAATTAAAGCAAGAGCTACCGCAAGCTCTAGTGATGTTTTGGAAAATAATTGAGTTTGATCAACTTTGCAATCAAACAAGCCTTTGAGAGAAAACAAGATACTTTCGCTAATGCATTTTTTGACAAGTCTATGCTCGTATGAGGTTTCAGCATATTTTATACGTCTAAGGACAATAGATTATAATACGGAACGAAAGTCGTAATATAGAAAAATCTACTCAGCTTACTTGTCCAGTAATAATTAGATAACAACTGATCACGCCATGAATTTGGTATATTGAAAAAGAAATCATATGAATGTCCAATTAAATGATTAACCTAGAAAAGAAAGAAAATGCGCTTTTTATGCCTAATCTGTATTAGAGACTTTTGTTTTCTATTAGAAAGTCCTTTGGCTGAAGTTGGTTATTTTCACACATTTCAAGTTGTGAACCCAAAGTACCTTAATCTTAGTAAAATAAAACAATCCAAACTACCATTTGAAATTACAGCTAATTCCTGTTTAGCTATTGTGTATTCTAAATTGTTGGCAATCTAAAGAGTTACAATGGATTGTTTAGAAAATATAATAGCAAGGATGATTCCGCTTTTTTCATGAGATAAATATGCTACTAAAAACAAAAAAAATAACGGGTAAGATCTCTTTTTCTACTCAAGAAAAACTAGCATGATATAATTAAACGTTGTATTCTCTGATATTTAGATGCGCTTATACCTACACCTCAAGCAGTATTTACCTCTAGAAGCTCAGAATCTACCTTTGAACATATTCAAAAAGCTATCGAATCGTGAAGTTTTTTGGAAAAGTGTTCTCGAGAGGGCAAGGTTAATGAACTACTAATTGAATCGTACAAGACTTTAAATACCCGAAATGTTGCGGTGTCTTCTTCATGTTCCATAATAAAATTAGTTACTAAAATTTCAAAACCGTTTCCACTTTCGGCACGTTGAGTAGGTGTTGCTGGTGTATCCATATTACCATGTAACTTGCCAACAAGATGATAGAATAACCAATGAACCATTTCATGCAATATTTTAATGGCAAGTAACACCGCTAAATTTTTTGTTCGTTCGACTGTCATATTTTCTTCAGCATGTTCCACCAACTGAAAATGAAGTAATCCAAAAGTGTTTGAAACGAAAAAGAATATACAATGAACGAACTTTAGAATTTAAATAAATCGTGTTAGAATTGTGATCATTTTTCACGCATTTGAACATACCATAAGCTTTTGAACCCACATGTCGTTTGATCGCTGCATCAGTGAGAACTACAATAGTGGGAGGCTTTTCCAATTGTTTAGTTACAACATCAAGAAGTTGTTGTGTTGGTTCCTGAATGAAAAACTTTTGATTGAAGCTTTATACAAATAAAAACGTGCACAATGCAAGGATTTTAAGAGTACATTTTCTCTTTTGAATGAAAATTGTGATTCTACACTTGACATTGCTCAATAAACAAGCGGGAGTCCTCTTCAGAATGAGATCTCTTCCTTCCCTGTCAAAACCTATAAAACTTTTAATTTTTTCAACTACCGTCAAAAATTTAGGAAAATTCCTGTTTATAATGGCTTCTCTGTTCTTGACGGAAAATAAAAAATATTGCACTCAGAAATGTTGTAGAGCAAGATATTTTCTTCAAAATAAGACGTTCTCAAAAGTTGTCAAATTATTTTCTGTGAAGTTATAAACACATTCTACTGAAAGCTACTGAAAAACATACTCTTTCCTTACATTCTTCAAAACGCAAAACATTCTTGTTTTATGGCGACATTCTTACGACTCAACTTAAGCTTTAGAAAACACAGTTGTAGTCTTCACATTATAGAAAAAGAAAATATTTCGTCTTCGTTATGCTCATATTAATTAAAATTAAATTGAAACTAACTTTATATTCATATAATGGTGTTTGCACCGAAAATGGAACGAATAATTTTTTCATAATCGGATGATGAATAAAACGATCGACAATACGAATGGCACTTTGAAATGACAAATTAGAACTAAATTGACTGCTGTCATAATTCCATACTGCTTTTGGCAATGGTAAGTCGGTAATACTGTCAATCGATAATTTTAATATTTTCTTACTATGACAAAGTGATGCCTGTTAAGAAAATGAAAGCAACATTTTTATTAGATCCATAATTCGATAAATACTCACATTAAGTTTTTTTTGATTTTCCCATATTTTGCAACCAGTATCACAATCATCTTCAGTTATTATCTTTTCGGCTAGAGCACGACGTATTTGATAACATGAATTTAATTCATAAACTGTTTGATCATTATGTTTTAATTTCGTAAACAGTTGACAATAAAATTTTTCATTGATTTCATTTCTTATTATCTCATCCTTTAAGAAAAAGCATAGGCATCATTTGGTAAACAAACCGAAAAATACAGAAATAGTGTTACATCAGTTGACGAAAATTGTGTATTGCATTTGATAATTCCGATGAGTATTGATTCGTATTCGTACAAACTGAATTGAATAAAATAAAAAATAGGAAACACAAAATATCATATCTATTTTCTCTTTTTTACGGTTTATCTTTCTCTGAGCGATCACGAAAATGTGCAAAAATTCGACGTATAAGAATATTCTTATCTTGTGTATTGAAATTCATTTCGACTAGAAAAAAAAACAGTCTTCAAGATAATTTTTGAATAGCAGTAGTCTAACTGTTCTTTTGTTCATCTCTCCTAACGAGAGCTACCAGCTTCCAATCTTCATTGGTAGCTAAGATGTCGCTCTTGGTTGGCCACTTGATTAAAGAACAAATAACTTACGTTTAGACTGCTGTCGTTACACACTCTTTTAACGTGCCTTTCTTTTTAAATAATTGCCAGTAAAAAGATACATAGCTTAGTCATTCTTTCTTAATGTTAAACATTCATCTGAACAAATATCATTTTCATATTTTTTTACTAGAATTTATTTCATTGTAAATTTTGTATTTTTTTTTGTTTTTACTTTTTTTATCATTACATGGTTAATAAAACAAAAATCATTTGAAAGATAAAAAATGAAAATTTTAGCTGTATTATGATATAACAAACAGAGATGTCCATAGCGGCTGAGAATTAGCCGCTGCTGCACCGCCGTCATTTAAAAAACATGGTGCCGCGACAGTACAAAAAATACAGTCTAGAAAATGTGGTCGTCTCTAAAATAAAAAAAATATGTATTATAAAGTTCATGAATTAC